GGTGTCTTTCATTTTCCTCAGAGGCTTTGTGCTTTTATCATGATGTTTTCATTAGATTTATTATAACAACATTGGTATCATTACTGAAATGGTTGATCTAAATACAATATAACTTTGATACCACAGCTTTGTCAGCTTCAAAGTCATACGTTTTGAGCCATATTCTCCTTAAACTATGTCCAATAGGGAGCAGTATATATTGCCTTGTAATATGCTCATTTTGCAGATCTTAGTATCCTTGTCTTATCAAATCGTCCCAACAGCATAAAACAATAAAATATTCCAATTTTAACCACAAAAGAAAAAAATATTCAGTTTACAGTACAAGAATCCTATCATATGTAACAGTCCTTATCTACTGATAACAGCTTGCTTTATGCAGTTAAAAAAAAGTAAATAAAAATTGCAAGAGGACTGTACTAATAAGAAGCCATATCACCTTGGGTTGCTGTACCAAAGAGTAAAACATATAACACTGCAGGACATGCAAATGACCAATGTGTATCTGCCTATATTTTTTCAGTGCCCACACAAAACAGGCGAAGTATATTTCTGCAAGTTTTTCATGTATTGCAAGAATTGCAGAGATCTGTTAAGGGGCAATTAAAACACATGCACAGAGGGCACAGTGTCCTATTAGAGTTATTTGGAGAAATTTCCTTGAAACAACATACCATCAAGGAAACATTTTGGGCGTGGGGACAGAGCAGCTAAACAGAAACAAAGGGGAAAATACTGCACATGTTAGACCATTTCCCCCTTAGTTCTCATACCAAACTCCCAAAGTGTTCTGAAAATGCTGGAAACAGTTTGAAGATTAGGCAGTAGAAGTAATTTTGAAGGAAACCTAGGAGGGTGCATTGAGTATAGGCACACACTTCTAGATAGCAGAATAACAGTGCAATCCCTTGCAGAGTTACTTAAATTTAAGCCCACTGATAGCTGGAGTTGTGATTAGTATGTATTTTTTCATTATTTTTCAAATAATACTTTGAAGTTGACTTATTTCAATGACTAGGAGCATGGACCGTACTAATATCTAGACTGGGCTGGGGCATAAGAACATAAGGGAAGCCATGTTGGATCAGACCAATGGCCCATCCTGTCCAACACTTTGTATCACACAGTTGCCAAAATACAGGTGTCATCAGGAGGTCTACTAGCGGGGCCAGGACTCCAGAAGCCCTCCCACTGTTGCCCTCCCAGGCACCAAGAATACAGAGCATCAGGATACAGCAGCCACCAGAAGGAGACAGACTGCCAGCCTCCAGGAACATACTCAGCTCTCAGCTGGTAGACCTTGGTCTGGTAAAATATGTCATGTTAACGAACAGCAGCTACAGTTGATTCCTTCATTATCCACAGTTATACAGGCAGACACCACAGATAAGGGGATTTTAGAGGAAACTGGGTTGGATTCAGTCAACCTTTTCACTCAACCTTGCCCAATTTCCCTTCTTACTACAACCCCATCTCACATAGCGTTTATGCATTCAGGTCCCATGAGCCCCAGGAAAACTTTGGTGGGTGGTTAGAGGGGTCTGTGCCTCCCTTTTTCACCCATAGGAAAACTGAAACCCTAAGACACACAAGTAGTTTAAATTCCCTGTTACATAATTAGTATACATAACCATATAATTCCACTATGAAAGAGCAGATTACAATGAAGATGCACATAAATATGGTTTGTTCTCAATTACTAATCTGTAATATAATCTTTGTCAACCACAAAGTTTAAATGCTACTTTATGTTTAAACCTCTTTAGATTTCAGGTTCTTATACAATTTGTTAACTGTTTTGGACAATGTATTTGAAAAAGTTACATATGCATTCAAAATGAAAGATTTATTTGATAATGTGAAATATAATATAATTAGAAGTATGGATAATGCATCATTGCCATGTGCTGTTCCTTAAGTGTATATTTAACTCTGGACATTTTCTCACAATGCAATAGAATTTAACACACTGAGGAATAATATCACTGCTCAGTTTCCATTTAATTCACCTACAATCTTTTCATTAAACTCAATGGAAGTTTCAACCATCCACAGATGACACTAGCCTTTTTGTAGGCAAAATGAAATTTCCCCAGATGAATACCATGTAATATGCATTCAGAATTCTCTTGTACTATTTGTTTGTTGCCTTTACAGGCTTTTTAGGTGGCTGCAATGACTGGAACATGGCTCTAAGCTGTTGGTTTGCTGTTTTTGGCTTGGTCTCCCCTTCTCTGACACTGCTGTTGAAGCTTCCCAGCACTATAATGTCTATATGTTGCCCTCACAAGTTTGTCAGGTGATTGGAACCATTGGCTAGAGGAGACCATGTCTGCTAAGTTGGAGCTGTCAGTCAGCCAGTTCTGGCATAAACCTTTATTTCTTTGGCATTGCTTCTATGATAATGCTGTTGGATGATGCCAGAGGGCAATATCAGAGGGATTTAGCCAGCATATCCCTCTGGAGTGGAATTCTGGCAAGATATTGTTTGTTCCTATTCATACTCTGTTACTTTTTAAAGTGATCTGTAGAAGTGGTTTATACTGGGTGAGAGGAGGCACTCTTGAGGAAATTGGCTTGTTTGCTAGCATACTGTGTCCTTTTGTGAGCTGACATATGTTTGGGTGAATTCCCACTATGGTTAACAGTGATATTCAGGTGTTTCATGAGTTAGAGAGGTATGGTGGTGGATGGAGTGTTCAGTAAGAGAGTTGAGCATTGGCATGAGTTCAGAGCTTTGTTTGGCTGCTCTATGTCCCATCCTTGAGAATCTGGGTATGAGGACTTTCAATGATCCTCCGCATTGACCCTGATATTGTACAATGCCTGGTCTGTCAGAAATAAAAAAAGATTTCCTTACTCTTTTGACATATTAGTACAAAAAGTATTGACCTGTGTGAATGACGAACATGGCTGAAGGAGTCAGGCAATGTTACTGTCATAATTCATCCAAGATGGGTATGTAATCCATTATGAAATCCCAACTGGAGGACAGGGGGAGAGAGTATCATAATTTGCCATGAGTTTTAGTGCAAATGGTTGCCAGCTTGGTGTGGTGCTTGTGCTGGGATCCAGGAACAGATGGTACCCTGTTGATCGCCTGTCTTGCCAAGCACTCAGTTAGTGCCCTGTCTGAGGTAGTGGAGGTAGTCTCAGGTTTTGTCCTGGGGACCCTTGGGAGGATAGTTCTGGGGGACCAGCAACCAAGTTGAGGTCTCCTTGTTGAGTCAGGCTCAGTGCTTCATAGAAACCATGGTTGGGATCAACAGGTCTGCAGTTTGGGATTTAGCCAGTGAAATTCCACAGATCCTGTGTTTGTTTCCATGCTTTTTAATACTTATGTTAAAGCTCTGAATGAGATACTCAAATACATAAGTGTCTAGAAACTACTATCTCTGTCCTGGGCAGCCATGGTCAAGTGACTGGTGAACAAGATGAAGCTGAATCCAGACAATATGGAGGTGATGTTGGATGGAAAGGCTAATATACTGGAGGGGAGCTTGCTGCCTACTTTGGATGGGGTACATCTTGTGCTGACAGACTCTGATAAAAGTCTGGGAATCTGATTACATCCTGCCCTTCTGTCAGAAAAGCAAGTTCATAAGATGGCAATAGTGTTTTCTTTTCAATTGCATATAGCACAAACATTAACCCTTTTCTAGATTTAGCTGATTGAGGCACGTGGATCCAAACTTGGCAGCTTTGAGACTAGATTACTTTAACATGCTGTACAAGATGGGACTTCCCTTGAAGACAACTTGGAAACTTCATTTGGTTCAGAATGTGGCAGTTCAACTGCTGTCTGGAGATGGTCACTCTGCACAAATTACTCCCATCCTGAGATCATCGCATAGGCTGGTTTCCATGTTCAATTCAAGGTACCAGATATCACTTTTAAAGCTTTTCATGGTCACGTACTTTCAGGAGAACTGCCTCTTCTAGTGTGCTCCAAATTATAGCTAGTTGAACATTTTTATGAAGTTACCTTATACCAGCAGAACACTGATTCATCTCTTCTGGTTGGCATGGCTCTCCAGGCTCCCAGGAACAGAGCTTAATATTCTTAAAGGTAAAGGTAAAGGTTCCCTTGCTCGAAAGCCAGTCGAATCCGACTCTAGGGTTGCGGTGCTCATCTCCGTTTCAAAGCCGAAGAGCCAGCGCTGTCCAAAGACGTTTCCGTGGTCATGTGGCCGGCATGACTAAACACCAAGGCGCACGGAACGCTGTTACCTTCCCACCTAAGTGGTACCTATTTATCTACTTGCAGTTTCTTGCTTTCGAACTGCTAGGTTGGCAGGAGCTGGAACTAGAGATGGGAGCTCACTCCATCATGCGGCACCCGGGTCTCGAACTGCTGAACTACTGACCTTCCACAGCCTGCAGTTCAGCGTCTTAACCACTTGAGCCACCGCAGCTCCATTAATATTCTTACCCAACTGGAATCACCAGAGATTGAACTCAGAATGTTCTGAATGTGCAGCAGGTGATCTACCTGACTAGTGAGTGAGCACTAGTTAATAGAATTTAAATTCAAATATGCTTAAATATGACTGGCTTTCTTCAGATTGGGGCTATGGTGTTTTCCTTATTTTTTATTTCACCGTATTTATAACCTACTCTTTCTTCCTGACAGGGCCTGGACTTGCTTTGCTTTGTTTTGCTTTAGCATGGCTTCTGTACCGTGTGCACATACACCAATAGTTTTGTTGTTCTGTATTTATAACCTACTCTTTCTTCCTGACGGGGCCTGGACTTGTTTTGCTTTGCTTTGCTTTGCTTTGCATTAGCATGGCTTCTGTACCCTGTGCACATACACCAATAGTTTTGTTGTTCACTAATCTGCTATTATCCTTTTTAAAATATTTGCCTAATATTTTCTTCTTTCAAATTTAAAATTAAAATGAAATAATTCCCTGCAGACCTTGAAGCTATAACAAAGTAATACTGAATTAGGTTAAAGTATAAATGGACAGTTAATGGCAAATAAAAGGAATTCCAACCTTGATTCCACTTTGAACAAGTTTGTGTATGTCCAGAAATGGTTCCTTGACTATATCTCCTTCAGGTGTGAAAATTTTTACATATCCCTCCTTCTCCAAGATGAACAGGCGCTGTGATCCATCTCCACAGTGTACTGCTCCAACAGGTTGCCTCAGACCACTTACAACTTCATGAATACAAAAGCAATTGTGTTTGTGTTTCCTAAAAAAAAAGTAACCAAAAACTATTCTTGTTTTCATTTGAAGTAGCTACAGTTTATTTAAATTGTTCTTTGAGAAAAACTATGAGTAAATTTTTAAGAAACCAGAACAGATAATAATATTCTGTTCCTCTTATTCATATTGATAGGTGCATTATAGTCAGTTAGGGAAATGTGGACTATTGAAGATACAAGAGTTATCATTCCACCCAGTTCAGAAAAAAAGCATTTTGTCACTGAACTAAAGTTAGGGTCAAACTTGATGCTGTAGCAACTAGTTTGGCTCAAGTATACCATCCCATGGTGGGGGTTTTTTGTCACAAAAACAGTGAGAAAAATTCAGATCACCAACAATTCAATTGAGATAATATTTCAGATAATACATCTACAATATATTTGATCCAGTGTTAGTACAATGAATCATTAATAAACTATGTGTTGCACAAGAATTTGACACATTAAAAAAATGGAACATTAGCACATGACAGGCACAGCCTGGAATGGGAACCCATTTATCTGAGGTCAGAAGGTTCACCTCATGAGGAAAGCCCTGAGGTATTGCTGGAAGCAAAAGGGTGGACAACAGCTCTGAGAAGTCTGCTCAAGGCTAGACAAGTTCCAGGTGGAGACAGTGAGGGTTAATAACCCAGGAGACAGGCCAAGCCAGCAATGATGAGCAGCAGCTGGGAGTAGGTGGCACAGTCAGCCATCCAAACTAGGGTGCTGATTGAGGCAAGGCTTAAAAGAAGCAGCCAGATGCTGTCTGGAGGTGGCTGATGGAGCAGCAAGGGGAACTTGTGAGCCATGAGGCAGGAAGGGTGCTGTTAACTGCTTCCCTGCACTGTATGTATGAAGCCCTGAATGAACGACTGATGGAACTGACCAGAGAGTCTGGCGTGTGCTTGTGGGGAAGGGGGGAATAGGGCCAATAGACTTTAGACCCTTAACCAGCTAGCTATGGGGTACAGTGCTAGAGGTTGTCTGGGAGATGCCCAGTTCTACCACACAGCAACAGCAGGAGAAAATAACATCTGGATGACACAGCTGGAGAGCATAAACTGAGACTGACTCAACTGTCAAAACTATAAACATTTGTCAGATTTTTTAGATCAAACAGCATTTATCTTTATGAACCTGCTGATCTCTTCCACTTTGCCATATTCTTCCATCTGGTCCAAATAGTTAGAAGCTGGTCCTCGAACTTGTTTTCTTGGAAAATCTGGAAAGCATGACCCACCATCTTTTCTTGCATAGTAGAAGCAAAATTCATCAGCCGTTGTTTGGAGGAAACCTTAAAATGGACAGGAAAAATGCTTAGCATACTGACTAATCTATTTTATACTTCACACAAATGGACTGTGTACAGAATGAAAAGGAGCTGTTTTTAAATATCAGTATATGTAATAGTTAACATAGCCCCATCTGTGGATACTTAACTCTGTGGATTAACTTCATAGACAGAAGGGGACTTTTAAAGCAAGCTTGGGGGAACTTGGGTTTGCAGAAAATTCTGAAACCTGGGTGGGGGGGAAAGTGGCACAAACAATGCTCCTCCACTGGAGGCTCTGCCTCATGGTGCAGGAGGCAGAGCTACAAATGAGTAGGGAAGGAGATGGGCAGACACAGTGACAAGGGGGCATGCAGATGAGGGGCAGGAGGAGGAGTGCACCCCCACCACTTGAGGCTGCAGGGGAGGAGGAGTTGCTGAGGACATCAGCCAGTGGAAGCCAGGCAGGCCACCTAGTGAATAGCCAGACAGCAAAGTGAGGATGGGAGGATGGGGGGGAGAACAAACTGGTGGGGACTGAGAAGAGGGCAGTTAATCAGAGTGCTGATGTGGGGGACAGGCAGGCAGGCAAAGTGGTAACTCTGCTTAGGATTGTGCTGGAGAGACAATACACTACTAGAGGCTACATAAAGGCCAAGGAGATAGGGTATGTATTGATTTGAAATAATGAGTCAAATTTTTTGTCTGCCAGAGTCTAATATAGAAGTGTATCTGATATAAGGAAATCTGATCAACAACCACATCAAAAGCTCACAACAAACAATTCACACGCCAGCTACTTTGGTATTTTCACACATATGGATCATTGCAACACACCTGTTCTCAAAAAATACAGAGACTCTGTAATCTTTGAGGAAAACTGACCATTTAGAGCAAACAAGACCAGTTGTCCATCTAGTCCAGCATCCTGTTTCACACAGTGTCCTTAAGGATCAATAAACAGAACAGAAAGGCCAAGGTGATCCTTTATTGTTGACTTCCAAAACTGGTAATTATGGGATTACTTCCTCTGGATGTGGAGGTTCCCTTTCGTCATCATGGCTAAAGCCATTGGGCGTAACAGGAACTTTCATATTCAGAGGAAGTCAATTTCTGCAACTAGAGTGTGAAAGACTGTATTTAAATACTTATATTATTTTCTTTTGCTCATATGGTATTAGTTAAAACTTCCTCAACTGTATGCTTTAACTTTTTTTACTCAATATTTGCTTATTTAGATAAAGTTAATTTTTTCTTTTTCTGAAACAGTTTTATATAATGCAGTTCCCATAATAAACAGGTGGCTGACAATTCTCCTGCATGCATCCTGACCTGACCAAGAACCAACAAAAGAATGGTGTTGGTAGAGCTCCTACAGCTGGAGACCAAAGGCCTCAACATGCATATGATACAGATGACCCAGTCTGTTTCAGGAACTATGAATCAGATCAGCATAGATTCCTGCCACTGTGATTCAAGAGCTACAATACCACTATCCTACCAGAATGAGACACTTAGATGGTCATGTGTTACAGCCTGTAGACCAGATGAGGAGGTGTGTATCTCAGTCATCATGATCCATCAGTGCTGAGGTAGCAGCTGTCCAGGATACTGAGGCACCAAGCATTATTCTGTCAGCTCACACTACAGCTCCTCTCTGGTATGACCAGATGAGTTAGGAGTGTGGGGTGTAAATGTATTGACTTTCCTGGCTTGCTATGCTAAGAATTGTTGGAATGCAGCCTTAGAAACAGCAGTTTCACTTTCCTGCTCCAATCTAGTCCAGTCCTGCTTTTGCTAGCAGCTAGTTCAGTTCAGTTCAAAGTTTCCTCTGGATGAACTTTTGTGGTTAAAATAAAGTTACCTATTTGTTTTGTACCTTGTGTGGCCTCTTGCGTCTTTACATTTAACAACTAGTGTCTTCACTGTATGTGTGCTTGAATAAACTTGTACAGTAATATAGGTTATTGTTGATTCTAATTAAATTTTTGTACATATATTAGGAGAGTGAGGTTAATCATTGTTTGTTTTGTATTTGGCAATCATGTCAGCCTTTTGCCTGTAGAAACAATTCATGTAAGAGCTCATGACACTTCTAGAGTCCGGAGAACCCATTCACATTACACTTATATAACTCTATTAAGTATGTGCATAAATGTCCTGCATTGACCCCTACTTTGAAAACTCTTGCTTTAAGCTCATAGATTTCAGGAGCATTTCCTTGCCAACATCAACACCACCACCACCAAAAAATTCTGCCAAGGAGGATCCTGCCAAGATTATGCAGAGTGTACATGCACACATGAACAAACACACACACATATGCCTTTTAGGGCTAAATTCTCATTTAAAGGTATGAAGTAAGTTTAACAAACAATGTTTGTATACTTTCATGCTATTAAACAGAAATTCATATGTAGCATATTATATACATATAATTCCCTTACATATTGGCCATTTCCAGCTCTCCCATTGGCTGTACAGTGCGCTCCATCAGCTATTGGCCCATCAACCACCACTCAAGAGTACTTGCATGCCATTAGCTGGGTGCTGGGCCACTCCTCTCCCCTACCCACTTCCAGCCTGGACACTCTTCCCTCACAGAATTAACTATCAAAACGGCTGTCTCTCCTGTTCTTTCTTGGCTCCTGTGGGACTAACTTTTACCTATTTTTCTCTGTATATTGTTTGGGTGAAATATATTTTTGATAATATTTGATACCAATATTTAGACAACACAGTATTGAAAAATATAAAAATAAAAAGAATAAAGCATAAAATTGTTCTACCATAAACATATATTTATTGTACACAGTGATATATATTTTTGTATGTCCACCTGGAGGTTGGCTACCCTAGGCATAAAAGTTAGCACTTCAGAGCAGGGTCTGCTAGACCCAGGTTCTTGCTGTGGAAGTTGAGTGGGTGATTTCAGACCAGTCACAGACTTTCAGTGTTACCTACCTCACAGGGTTGTTGTGCAGATCAGAAGGGGGAGAGGAGAATGATGTAAATTGCTTTGGTCTCCACTGTGGAGAAAGACTGTGCTTTTCCTCCTGGGAAATCATTGCTCCAGGTGAGGGGCGGAGATTACTCAGAATTAAAACTGCTCTCCAGATGGTAGAGATCAGGGGCAGAAAACGGTAAGTTCTGTGTCATTATACTCTGCTGAGGCCACCACAGCAAATTGACGCTGAGTACCCAAGGCCAGGGCACCCACTCATATTTATTTCCACAACGGGCCTTATTCCTAGTATAAACATAATTCTAAACAGTAGCGTCACTAAGAACCCTTTTATTCAGTACTTTCAAGATCTGAAAAAGTATTTCAAGTTAAACCATCTATATTTACTATGGAATGCATCAAATTGTGACATTGCAATAGGCAGTTCTGCCATGTGAAAAAGAATTTTGAAAATTAGAACAATTAAAATACTTTTGATCAACTGAAAAGACATTCTCCACACAATTCAGTCGACATTATAGTTTTACAAAAATGTTGATTATTTTTAATAAGGTACCAACTTAGAAGTTACATTCTGCTTTAACTCATAAGGAAGGAATGCCCTCTCTGCTGAGGGCTGCTGCTGCAACATATACATACTTCATTGGAAAACACAGAAGGTAGGCTGGTTTTTCCCCTAAGCTACTGTTTTATGTATATATACTAATCATGCAGATAAGAAGTTCTATCCTAAAGTTACATCTTTCTAAACCCACTTAGATTGGATTTAAAAGGGTATAATTCTGCCTAGGGAGTGCACTGTTAAAACTCACTTCATTAATCAACTGGGGTCCCGGTCACACGGGCTGTAAAATGCGGGGGGGAAGCGTGGCAGTTTGGCCTGGAGCAAAATAACATGCGGCCACCTGATCACACATCCCGTCGAGATCCCATGGGTAGGGGCGAGGTGGCAATCGCACGACGATCCTGCAGCGTGGCAAAGAAGTGGCGCGGCGCAATCTCACCAAAGGCATGCGTGATTCTGCGGAGCAACGGAACTTTCCCTTTCCTCTTCGTGCGCATGCGCCATTGGGTGCTTATGTGCATTCGGCGGGAAGCCTCGGGGTCGCCATGGGAGCTCTACACTTCCCAGATGTTGCGGTGTGATCGCGCCCGGAAAATCTGCCCATCATCCATCTCAGTAGCGTGGCTAATGCTCCGTGTGACCACAGCCTAAGATTTCTTTAATTGGATGCCACTGAAAACTTTTCTCTCTTGTTAACTCCATGTGCTGTAAATTGTTACCTCTAATACCTTTGCTATTCATTGATCTAATCCATTTTTCTTCTACCCTCTCATGAATTGAATGCAAAGACTTTTCCACCTTACTGAATGATATCTGGCCAGAATCACAGTCACAGAAAAGATACCAACACAGCCTCATGTGTTTTCATACCCCCTGCATCCTCCATTCCTGTACTCTTCTACCTATCATTTCCTAGGCCCTCCTGTCCACCTGTCATTCTCTAGGATCAGAACAACTCAGCCAATAACACTTGGGCATCTTGCTTCCTGCCCCATCCCTCAGTTATACTAAGTTAGTTCCACCAATCATTGCCAGAGACTTCACCTTACTGCTACTAGCACAAACATGTCTTACACATAGGCCCTTTTCACATTACCATTCTAAACTGGATGTAATCCGTCATTGGGCTGGTTCTGAGTAAAGCAATACAGGGATGGGGGTTTCACACAGAGAATTTCCTTCCCTTAATGAGCCATCTCTGAAGTGCTATGGCCATTTCAAACAGTGCTGCTTCCCCCCCTCCTGCCCTTTTTTGCTGTTGTGGGATCTTCCTCTGAGGGCTTTTTTTCAACATTCTAAATGTGATGGCTAAGGTGCTGAACTAGGGATGGGCATTAAACAAGAAACGAACCAGCCTCCAGGTGGGATCTGGGGATCCCCCAGAACGACAGCACAGCTCAAGACTACAGAGATCCGTTCCCCTGGACTGTTTCCAGACTAGACAACTGGAAAAATTTAAAAATCCAGGCAGCTTTGCTTCTAGTATGCAACAGA